AATTCCGGACTTCCAGCTCTATTACAAAGCTGTCATCGACAAGACAGCATGGTAATGGCACAAAAACAGACACATAGATCAATGGAACAGAATAGAGAGCCCAGAAATGGACCCTCAACTCTATGGTCAACTCATCTTTGACAAAGCAGGAAAGAATGTCCAATGGAACAAAGACAGTCTCTTCAACAAATGGTGTTGGGAAAATTGGATAGCCACATGCAGAAGAATGAAACTGGACCATTTCCTTACACCACACACAAAAATAGACTCCAAATGGTTGAAAGACCTCAATGTGAGACAGGAGTCCATCCAAATCCTAAAGGAGAACACAGGCAGCAACCTCTTTGACCTCAGCCGAAGCAACTTCTTCCTAGAAACATCGCCAAAGGCAAGGGAAGCAAGGGCAAAAATGAACTATTGGGACTTCATCAAGATAAAAAGCTTTTGCAAAGCAAAGCAGTCAGCAAAACCAAAAGACAACCGACAGAATGGGAGAAGATATTTGCCAATGACATATCAGATAAAGGGCTAGTATCCAAAATCTATAAAGAACTCATCAAACTCAACACCCAAAGAACAAAGAATCCAATCAAGAAATGGGCAGAAGACATGAACAGACATTTTTCCAAAGAAGACATCCAAATGGCCAACAGACACATGAAAAAGTGCTCAATATCGCTCGGCATCAGGGAAATCCAAATCAAAACCTCCATGAGATACCACCTCACACCAGTCAGAATGGCTAAAATTAACGTCAGGAAACGACAGATGTTGGCGGGGATGCGGAGAAAGGGGAACCCTCCTACACTGTTGGTGGGAATGCAAGCTGGTGCAGCCACTCTGGAAAACTGTATGGAGGTTCCTCAAAAAGTTGAAAATAGAGCTACCCTATGATCCAGCAATTGCACTACTGGGTATTTACCCCAAAGATACAAAAGTAGGGATCCGAAGGGGTACGTGCACCCCGATGTTTATAGCAGCAATGTCCACAATAGCCAAACTGTGGAAAGAGCCAAGATGTCCATCGACAGATGAATGGATAAGGAAGATGTTGCATATATATACAATAGAATATTATGCAGCCATCAAAAGGAATGAGATCTTGCCATTTGCAACGATGTGGATGGAACTTGAGGGTATTATGTTGAGTGAAATAAGTCAAACAGAGAAAGACATGTATCATATGATCTCACTGATATGAGGAATTCTTAATTGCAGGAAACAAACTGAGGGTTGCTGGAGTGGGGGGTGGGGTGGGAGGGATGGGGTGACTGGGTGATAGACACTGGGGAGGGTATGTGCTCTGGTAATCGCTGTGAATTGTGCAAGACTGTTGAATCTCAGATCTGTACCTGTGAAACAAATAATGCAATATATGTTAAGAAAAAAAAAGAAGAAGAAGGAGGTAGCGGGAGGGGAAGAATGAAGCGGGGGAAATCGGAGGGGTAGACAAACCATGAGAGACGATGGACTCTGAAAAACAAACAGGGTTCTAGAGGGGTGGGGGGTGGGAGGATGGGTTAGCCTGGTGGTGGGTATTGAGGAGGGCACATTCTGCATGGAGCACTGGGTGTTATGCACAAACCATGAATCATGGAACACTTCATCTAAAACTAATGATATAATGTATGGCGATTAACATAAGAATAAAAAAAAAGGAAAAAAAAAAAGAAGATGGCAAAGAACCAACTACAGCCTACTTTTTCTGGGTATTAATTTAGTGCTCTTGCCACTGTAATGTAATGTCCTATGCTTTTTGCCATAGTAATAACAAGGGGATTGTGCCCCAGCATAAAGTACATTTGAATTTCATATTTGTTCAGAGAAAAGATCTGATTTCATACTGCTTTATAGGATCTAGTCTCAGATCCATCCCAACTGAGGATCTTTCATTATAGAAATATAAACAGAACCCCGATCCCTACATTTGATGCATGCAGGCAGGGTTGGCCTTTAGCCTGACACAATAATACTCTGACAAATGGTGTAATAAGCTACAGAAGCTACTGATAATCTAATCTACCATTCATCTCTTGCCAAGTTTATTTTAGTTAAAATCGTCATGGGATTTGTATTTCTAGAGGTCATGTTGGCTTTACTATCTAGGTATTCCTCAGGCTAGAGAAGGCCCTGGCTTGCTCCTGCCTCTGTATCTCTTCCTCATTTCCCTGTCTGGAAGTGCCCTGCAGCATTGGGCTTTCAAGGTACACAGTTTAGGGTTGGCTGAAGAGGCTGGAAAGGGATTTTTCCAGTTCACCTCTGCATAGTTTGTGCTTCAGAGCATCCCCCAAACCCTCCCACCGTGCGCTGTTGTTCCTTCAGTTTGTTCTTAGCTGATAAGACTCCCTGAAGCACAAAATTCTTGAGGTATACAGTCCTTTGAAGGAAGTCAGAGTCTAAATCCAACTGTATATTTAATAGACACTTAGTATTTTTTTAGAATGTTTTTTGGTGGTACTACACTTAGATCAATAGCATAGAAATGAAAATATTTTTTCATTTAAAATAGGAAAAAAATGATGGAGACAAAGTTAATGTACAAAGTAAATAAGAGAATAGTCACATTGTGGTATAAGTCATTCAAAACAATATATTACAAATTTTTTATTTCATAAAAGATGCTCATAATATAATATTGAGTATGAAAAGCCAGTTCCAGAGCTTTGTGAATACTATGATCCTAATTTCTATTAAAAAGTATGAAAATGAAAAAAGTACCAATAATAATTTGTAATTATTATTGTGTTACCAGGCACCCTTGTGCTTTATGTGTATCCACTCATTCAATGCTCTCATCAACCCAAAGAGGCAGGTACTATTATTATCTTTATTTTATTTTTTTAAAGATTTTTATTTATTTTTTTGACAGAGAGAGAGAGACAGAGAGGGAACACAAGCAGGGGGAGTGGAAGAGGGAGAAGCAGGCTTCCTGCTGAGCAGGGTGCCCGATGTGGGGCTTGATCCCAGGACCCTGGGATCATGACCTGAGCCGAAGGCAGACACTTAACCGACTGAGCCACCCAGGCACCCCTATTATCTTTATTTTAGAGATGAAGAAATTGAGGTGCAGAAAAATAAGTTGCCCAAAGTTACATAGTAAGTGTTGGAGTCACCCACTAAGAGGAAATACACCACAATGTCAATAATGATTATCTCTGGATTAATGGTGTTATAGGTCAATTTAATTCTTTACATCTATAATGTAGAATGTGTCTCTGCTCTTTATGTTATTACAAATAGCATTTTAAAAAGAAATCAAAGCATGTTTAGGATCTTAGAAAAACAATATGAGAACATTTGTAAGTTTGAATTTCAAAAAACCTTTTTTTTCTTGTGTCTGAAATAGAAATTATACTTGGTTAAGGGGGGGGGGGAGACACAAATACTGCTACTTTCCATCAGTATCATCTCCCTTAATGATAACCTCTCAGTGTATGTGTTTGATAATTTTCTTTTATCAGTAAAGAAAATGAGACCTTTTTGAGTTCATGATTAAACATTATAAAGCACAATCCAGAAAGCTGGCTTCTGATCAGATCAGACCAGGTTTTGTTTGAATACTCAAATACTTTGCCAGTAATAGAAAGTGTGAAGGCATACACACTGTAGAACATCTCCAGGAAATGTACACTTTCCTCCTTTTAAAATATAGCCTCAAAGGCAAAAATATTTCAAGAACAATATGTTTTATTATGTTGTATCTTATTTTCCTGTTACTTGACTTTTTAGCCCTTCTTCTTACTTTCATTTCTGCCACTCCTTTCCCTTCAGAACACCAACCAACAAGCCATCCAACCAACCCACTGATTAGCTGTTGAAAGTTGGTAACATTCTGAGTTTTATTAGTGATAATAGCTCTACTTTGCTATTAGGTGCCCGGCACTCTGCTAAGTGTAGAGTACCTGGCACTGTTTGTCCCCAACGGTGTAAGCCCACAGTGTTTGGAATAAGATAGAATTACTCAGAGATAACATCTGAGCTTTTTGATTTATGTTTTTTGTTGAAAAGAGTTGGAACATCTAGCTGTGCAGTGGTGGCAACCCCCTTAACTCGTTTATATTCCTTACCAGGCTCCTGTTGTCTTTTTTCATTTTTGGACCCCTGATATTAGTTATTTAATCCTCTGAGATATTCTAAGCCCGCTGAAGCTAGAGAGGGAAGTGGCTGGGTCAAGGTTCTACCACGAGTAAAATGCGCTGTTGGACGGACTGGAGAGCCCGTGTTCTCTCTACTCTGCCCTGCTGCCCTCACAGCTCTGTAACGTGGCTACTCAGCTTCGGTGTTAGGCATGACTTTTATTGCTCGTGTCATAGTCTTTTGTCAGTGTCTTAGTCAAATGAGATGGATTTTCAAGTTTTTTATCTTTTTTTTTTTTTTTAAGATTTTATTTGTTTGACAGAGAGAGACACAGCGAGAGAGGGAACACAAGCAGGGGGAGTGGGAGAGGGAGAAGCAGGCTTCCCTTGGAGCAGGGAGCCCGATGCAGGGCGGGATCCCCGGACCCTGCAATCATGATTTGAGCCAAAGGCAGACGCTTAACGAATGAGCCACCCAGGCGCCCCTTTATCCTATCTTCTTGAGATAGCCTTTCAAGTTTCTTAGTCCCTTATCTTCTGAGGGAGGCTCTGTCTGATTCTTGCATTTCTTTGGTTTTGGAGAAATTATTTTTTGAGGCTGAGGCAGAAAATGATTGGCTTGAAAGGAGCTATGATTTTGAAAATAACATAGTTTGAGAATGAGAATATTAGTCATGGGATCCCAGGAGTAGTTGTCAGATGCTGAGAATACTTGGAGAGACTCAGCCATGTGACAGGTCCATGTGGTTAATGGTGATGATCAGGAGTTTGTGTTTGTTTTCCTAAGATAAATCACTATTTCAGTACCTTAATAAGAAATTATACCCATTACTCTTTCAACTCTGTGCAACTGTTTCTCTTTTTAAAATAGACTAAAATACATTAAAAAAATTTTTTTTTTCACCGTATAAACCTATACTGAAGGAAAACAAGGAGAGCGGCACTTGTTTATTTGAGTAGCCCAGGTAATGGGCATGAAAGCATTTCCAAGTCATGCGCTGGTGGGCCTGGCCCTGTTCGTGCTCCCTCAGGAAGCAACACAGTAAGTAAGCAATGTCATGCTTGTAAACAGTGGACAGCGAGGTACTTGTCTTGGCTGGATTCCAGGTGGTTGCTGATTGTTTGGTTGCTAATGATGGCAGAATGCCCCGGTCTCTCCACGCGGATTCTCTCTGGGTGTTGCTTCCTCCTGTGAGGGTGTCTGTAGCTCTGACACAAAGACAGGGTGTATTTTGGCTATAGACTAAAAGCTCATCTTCAGAAGTGAACAGAAAGCTGAGATGTACTCAATAAAGGGTTTATTGATATGGTATCTGCTCCTTGATGCTGGAGGATTTAGTTACATATATTAGAAAAAAGCTTTCTGGTTTTGCCCTGTCTTTGGAAAACATTTTTAAAATGAGCAATAATATGTCGGGACCTCATCTTCCCTCCAGAGAACTCACCGAGTGATTAAAAATGAACTTAGGTTTGTTTTAAGCTAGATTTAAATCTTAAAATGAAGACAGAGTTCATTTATTTCAGTTACATAAAAAACAATGTGTATTTTTTTACATGACAGGGGTGCTGGTTAACCAAAAGCTCTTATGAGTTAATAGTGTGGTATGGATACTAAAAACTTTAATGAGAGCTGAGGGGGTCAGACTACATTCAAAGTCCTAATTTCTGGATTTGAAATCTTACTGAAGATTTATTTCTAGCACTTTGCTGCAGTGGGGAAAGTACAGACATTTTGATTTCCTGTTTCCCAGTCCTGGCATTTTAGGAAAGTGGCTGTCAGGAAGAGGTAGGCTTTCCTTGGGGAGTGAGGCCTGTGACAGCGCAGATAGGGCAAGTTAACATTTGCCTTCAAGAATAAGTCTTTTGGGGAAGTCTCTGCCAGGCGGAGTTTGTTTTTTCAAACCTATAAATAGAAGAGAAATGAAGATAATTTTGGCTCAACTGTCTTCTGAGCTACAGGAATTTATTCAAATTTTGCATTTGTTGCAGCTAGCTAGCTTTCTCCCCTTCTCCTCCCTTCTTCCCTTTCTCTTTTCTTTTTCCACCTTGGGATAAGGATTAGTAAATTGCATATTTGTGATCTAAAAGAAATAGGGTATGTTTGATAGTGACTAACTTATATGTGTGTAGTAATTTAGAGATGAGGAGATTCTGGCTCCATAAATAACTGGTTTCCCAGTTATTTTGAGCCCATGATTTTTTTTTGTTTTTAAATCTTCCTGTTCCTCTTACTCAGAGATTCTCCAAAAGGCTGTGGGGATGGGATAGGGATGAAGAACTTTTTTCTTTCCAATAAGGGCCAGTAACCCCTGGGGGATGGGGTGTGGGGAAATCCAGAACCCCAGATTGGAAAAACAGATTGAAAAATTAATAGAGATTTTACTTAAAGAGCCAAAATAGAGAACATTATTCTCATACTCCTTTTAGATTAAAGAGAGTAAAGGACTTACTCAGCTACAGTCAGTAGTGACAAACATGTTTATAATACTACATATTATATCTAAGTATGAAGCAGAGGGAGGAGGGTATGTGGACAGATGGCAAGAAGTAGTAAAGCCGTAATTAGGGACAAAAAAAGAGTAAAGGTAAGAATGAAAAAATTTAAGTTTTGGAGGGGCACCTGGGTGGCTCAGTCGTTGGGCGTCTGCCTTTAGCTCAGGTCATGATCTCAGGGTCCTGGGATCGAGCCCTGCATCTGGCTCCCTGCTCAGCGGGTGTTCCCCCTGCTTGTGTTCCCTCTCTCGCTGTGTCTCTCTATCAAATAAATAAATAAAATCTTAAAAAAGAAAAAGGAATTTGTAAAGATAGACACATAAGCAAAGAATATGCCTAAATACGTGTGCTGCCTGTCAGTCACATTCATACTTGCTTCTCTCCCGGCCCTTAAAGACAGCTTCTATTTTAAGAACCCAGATTCAGGAATGTCTGAAATAAGTGTTGTTTGGCTTTGGTTTTATCATCCAACTAGTGTTATGTACTAAAACTACCATACCTACATTTGGGAAGCCAAAGGCTTGAGAAATTGTGATTATTTATTAGAATAGTGCTCTAAAAGTGTTAGCTCAAAAAAACTGTCCCCAAAAATGTGCAAGTTTTTAAATATCTGTCTGATATTTTAAGAATTGCTGGAACTTGGGACGCCTGGGTGGCTCAGTCGGTTGAGCGGCTACCTTCGGCTCAGGTCATGATCCCAGGGTCCTGGGATCGAGTCCCGCATCGGGCTCCTTGCTCAGCGGGGAGCCTGCTTCTCCCTCTGCTTGCAGCTCCCCCTGCTTGTACTCTCGCTCACTCTCTCTCACCTATGCTCTCTCTCTAGCAAATAAATAAATAAAATCTTAAAAAAAAAAAAAAAGAATTGCTGGAACTGTAAAATTCCTTTCGTTTCCTCAATTTTTTTCACAAAATAAATAAATTTAAAAATTAAAATAAAATATACCTTTAATTTTATAGCAAGCTACTGAGAGACTAAAATATAGTTTTAAGTGGTTGAGAGTGTATTTCTTTCATGCAATAACAGCTTCTGTCTACAAGATGATGATTATTTAAGGTTTGTTTTTTTTTTTAAATTCCTTGGGAGAGTGTTGAACGTTATGTTAATTTGTAGCACAAAAGGATTCTTTTCTTTCATGACTGGAACACATACATCTTTCTTTCTTTCTTTCTTTCTTTCTTTCTTTCTTTCTTTCTTTCTTTCTTTCTTTCTTTCTTTCTTTCTTTGAGAGAGACAGAAACAGAGTGGGTGCATGGGGGAGGGGCAGAGGAAGAGAGAGAAAAGCAGATTCCTCACTGAGCAAAGAGCCTGCCTGATGCATGGGCTCCATCTCTTGACAGGGAGATCAGGACCTGAGCCAAAACCAAGAGTCAGATGCTCAACTGACTGATCCACCCAGGCCCCCCTCATGAGTGCAACACATACATCTTAAGGCTTTTAAAAGTAGTTCAACTAAGGAATCTGAAAACTGTGGCTTTTTGTTTTTAATAACAAAAATGGATGACACTCTTGGCATTTGACCCGTGGATAGTGTGAAACTAAGCTAAGGACTAGAAAGTCTCCACTTTCAGGTTGGGTGGCTCAGGGCCATGGGGTTGATTGCAGTTGTGTTGGGTGGGCAGGCTTTAAGAACAAAGTGGTTTCCTCATACTTATTTGTTGGTTGAGCGTGGTAGTGATATTAGCCATTTGGATCTCCTTGGTGATGTGGCAATGCTAGTCAAGCACTTGTAATAGTTCCCATGCACAGTGAAGTATTCTACATTTTATTAATATTACTTTAGTTTCTTTTTATCCTCCAGAACCAGTAAGTGGGCCCAATCTCATTATACATGTTTTTGATCACTTTAGTATGTGACCAACTAAACATATTTCCTCTTTAGTAAAGTCTTACTAGCCAGATAGTAGGATTTTAATTCTTTACATTGTTTCTCCCTTTTTTTTTTTTTTGCCAAGTAGTGTCTTTGTACAATTAAAAATTTTAAAACTTACTGTTACACAGACATATATGGAGTAAGAAATTAAAATCTTATGCCTCTGCCTAGAGGAAACTACTTTTAAAAGTTTGGCATATATGCTCCCAAACATTTCCCATCATGGAAAACTTTCCATGAAGGTATATGCAGCCCTAGTCCTTTTTTTTTTTTTTTTCTTTTTTTAGAAAAGCTTCACAAATTTGCATGTCATTCTTGCACAGAGGCCATGCTAATCTTCTCCGTATCGTTCCAGCTAATTCATTGTTTTTAATGGCTGCATTATATTTTAAAATATGGGTGTACCATAATTGAACTCTGACTATTGATATTTGGGTTTTTTTCTAATTTTTTTGCCCTTAAAGTCAATAGAGCAGTGAAATTCTTTGCATGTATACTTTTTTGCATATGTGCAAGTATTTCCATTGGTTGGATTCCTAGGAGGAGAATTGCTAAATGAAATTGTAGCTCATAGAAATGGACATTTCCCCCAGTGATGTATGAAAATGAGCAATTCTATGTATCTTTGCCAATATTAGTATGCATCTTTCCCCCTGCTTTGGCAGTTTAATGATACCTCATTCGTCAAATTTGTATTTCTCTAACTAAAAGGGAGGTTGCATATTTTTTTCGTATATTTATTGGTATTTGTTTAACCTATATGATAGGATCTTTTAGTTTCTTTTCTTGGTTTTTAGTTATTTTTCTGAGGAGCTCTGTATATGTTAAATAATAGTCCTTTGTTATATATATGTTGCAGATATTATCTCCTGCTCTGTCATTTATATTTCTTAGTATCTTTTGCCAAACAGGAGTTTTCTATTTTATATAGTCATATTTGTCAGTTTTTTTTTTCTTTAAAACTTTTGAATTTTGTGTCTTATTTTAGAGAGGCCGTCTCCATCCCAAGATTATACACAGCTTCTCCCTTATTTCCTTTGAACACTTTTTTAGTTTAAAAAAATAATATGCTCTTTATCAATTTGGAATTACTTATGTATAAAGTATGAGGCAAGACCCTAACCTTTTCTTATGCATGAATATCAAGTTATCCCAACACCACTTATTCAACAGTCAGATTTTCTTATATTCTTAATTCTCATATGTAGATACATTTGTTTTTGTACTACTACTGTTCTGTTGATTTGTTTATTCTTACTCTGGCATCATGTTGTTTTGATATATGTAGGGAAAATCCTTCTTTTTCAAAAATTTCTTAACTAACGTCAAGCATTTATTTACTTTTCCAGAAGAACTTTGTAATCTATTAAGCAATATCTTAAAGCTTATTTAAATGGTATTTCACACTTCGGTTTTATTTTTTATATATAATTTATTCATTCAGTAATCTGTGCCCTTTTTTTCTTCCTTTTTTTTTTTTTTTTCTTTACATTTCAGAGGCCTGTGTATGGAAACTCACATGAGTCAGTTCAGTCTAGAAGGGTAGTAATTTCTCATAATATGGACAAAGCTCTGAAAGAAGGTAAGGATTAAATGAAAGCATGCGATTACTATGTAAAGCAATTCATTATGTTCTAAAGGGAAAATTGTAATCTCTAACAAATTTATCTATCCTTCTTGTCTGTGTGTAGCATTAGGAATTTTTATGATGAATGAATAAATACATCCATATTTTAGTTGAATGGATGGGATTTAAATATTTATTAAGTAGGATTTCCAGGTCACATGAAGCTAACTGGCCATGTGGAGCTAATTCCACCATATGAAACAAGGATCTGTTTTCTGTTACCTAAAATAGGTATTAGGAAATATTTTTTCTTTTAGATATAACCTAGAGAAGGTGTGTTGGAGATGGGTGCACTTAGGCTCACTCATCAACAAATCAGTTAAACAAATTAAGGGGTGTAGTGGTCAGCCTTCTTAAAGAATGAAGGATATGTTAGTAGAACTGGTATTGAGCAAGGTTGAAGGTAGGTTGCCGAGGGCATGGTGTTGTTACATGTAGAAGTGGAAATGAGGTGTAATTAGAAACATTTAAGTTGAAAAGATATATTTTGATGATCAAATTAAAGTTCAAACAATATTTTTAAAATCAAATTTCTAAAAACATTTCAGTTACAAGTGCAGAAAGTCTGAGTTTTTCAAGTGAATATGGGGTGTTAGATATGAAGTGGAGAGGACTGAATAAGTGATAAGTACATAGCAAGTATGTTTACTTTCATAGTTCACAGAAATCACTGTATTAAAATTTGAAGATGAGGGGCACCTGGGTGGCTCAGTCGTTAAGCGTCTGCCTTCGGCTCAGGTCATGATCCCAGGGTCCTGGGATCGAGCCCCGCATCGGGTTCCCTGCTCCATGTGGAGCCTGCTTCTCCCTCTCCTGCTCCCCCTGCTTGTGTTCCCTTTCTCTCTGTGTCTCTCTCTGTCAAATAAATAAAATATTAAAAAAAAAATTTGAAGATGAGTACTATGTAAGTACAGAGACAGTCTGAAATTGTGTGGATTTGTAGAATTTTAGAACTTTGGGGACTAATTAAACTTCTAAAATATTTGTATTAGTAAAGTATGATGATTTTGATAAAAGCCAAATTTAAAATCCAGTAATTTTTATTCATAATCTCAAAATCGTGGTTTAAAAATAATTAATTGCTTTTATTGAGGTAAAATTTACATACTTTGAAATGCACAAATCTTAAGTGTACATACAATTCAGTAATTTTCATAAATGTGTATAACCATGTAACCAGCAACCCTGTGAAACTAAGGAACATTTCTATCATTACAGAAAGCTTGCCACCTGTACCCCTCTAATCAAACCCACCTTCCCTTGTTCTAATTTCTATCATTATAGATTAGTTTTGCCTGTTCGTTTTATTTTTTAAAGATTTTATTTATTTATTTGACAGAGAGACTCAGTGAGAGAGGGAACACAAGCAGGGGGAGTGGGGGAGGGAGAAGCAGGCTTCCCGCTGAGCAGGGAGCCCGATGCGGGGCTCGATCCCAGGACCCTGGGGTCATGACCTGAGCCGAAGGCAGACGCCCAATGACTGAGCCACCCAGGTGCCCCTAGTTTTGCCTGTTCTTAAACCTTATAGAAATGGAATCATACAGGATGTAGTCTTTTATGCCTGGCTTCTTTTCTCAGCATGTTTTTAAGATTTATCAGTTGTCTGTATCAGTTCATTCTTTGTTATTACTACTGAGTAATATTCCATTATACTAATATGAGTGTGTCACAGTATATTTATCCTTTCTTTTTTGGACATTTGGGTTGTTTCTAACTTTTTGAAACACACTGGGTAAAGTTGCTATAAACAAGTATTTTCTTTTTTTAAAGATTTTATTTATTTGAGAGAGAATGAGATAGAGAGAGAGCATGAGAGGGGGGAGGGTCAGAGGGAGAAGCAGGCTCCCTGCCGAGCAGGGAGCCCGATGGGGACTCGATCCAGGGACTCCAGGATCATGACCTGAGCCGAAGGCAGTCGCTTAACCGACTGAGCCACCCAGGCGCCCCTATAAACAAATATTTTTGTGGACATATGTTTTCATGATGTTTATTCTTACTCTGGCATCATGTTGTTTTGATATCTGGTATTTGTTGGACAAATTCCAAGGAGTAGAATTGACAGGCCTAGGGTAAGGTGTGTGTTTAACTTTATGAGAAATTGCCAAATAATATTGTAAAGTGATGATGTCTTTATTTAGACTCTCACCGTGTATGACCGTTCCAATTGTTTTACGTTATCACCAACATTTACTGTTGCCATTCGTTCTATTTTAACTATTCTGATAAATGTAAAACAGAATCTTACTGGGACCTTAAATTGCATATCCGTGGCAACTAATGATGCTGAACATCCTTTCATGTGATTATTGACCATTTCCAAATCTTCATTTGTGATGTGTCTGGTCAAGTCTTTCTTTTTAAAATTTATTTAACTTATAATTTATTTGTAGGAATGTTTTTAAAGATTCTGGATTCACATCCTTTGTTAGATATAGTTACAGTGAATACTTTCTCCCAGTTTGTAGATTGCCTTTTACTTTTTAATGTTGTCTTTGAGCAGAAGTTTTTAATTTTGATGACGTCTAATTTACTAATTCTTTTTTCTTTCTGTTCTCTAGATAGGATAATTTTTATTCATCTGTCTTCAAGTTCATGGACTGTTTTTCTGTCATTTTTAATCTACAGTTAAGTGTATCCAGTGAATTTTTTTATTTCAAATATTGTACTTCTCCTGTCTAGAATTTCTTTTTTTTGTTTTTTAAAGATTTTATTTATTTATTTGTCAGAGAGAGAGAGCGCGCACACAAGCAGGGGGAGCAGCAGGTAGAGGGAGAAGTAGGCTCCCTGGATCCTGGACCCTGGGATCATGACCTGAGCTGAAGGCAGATGCTTAACCAACTGAGCCACCCAGGCGTCCCCTGTCTAGAATTTCTATTTGGTTCTTTGCTGAGATTTCCCCATCTGTCACTTATTATGACCATCTTTATCTTGAATTCCTTGAACACACACACATATATATAGTTGCTTTAAAGTCTCTGTATGCGAAGTCCAAAATTGAGGCTATCTTGGAGTTGGTTTCTATCCATTGGTTTTTCTCTTATGTATGTGTTACTTTTTTTTTTTTTTGGTTTCATCTCAGGTCTTCTTATTTTTGATTGTATCCTGAACAATGTGGATGCTACTTTCTAGACATTCTAGTTTCTGTTATCTTCCTCTGAAGAGTGTTGGTTTTTGGTCTAGTATGCAGCTTAATTTTTTGACTGTTCAACTTGAGGATACTTGGTTTTACCCATATTTTTAGGGCGGGTCTGCCTGGATTTTGTCTAAGGTAAATCCCTCAGCCCTGGGACACAGGCTTAAGTCATCTAGTTCATGTCCCTTACACAGTTTCAGTGGAAAGTCCATGGTCACACCTCTAACCGACCGGGTAGGACTCTAGCTCCAGACGTGGTCAGAGTACCTGCTCAGCTCTTCCAATTTTCCACCTGTTGCTGTGAGCTGGTCTCCTTGCGGTCTTTCCTCCATACGTGTGTAGGGCAGAGTCGGCAATGGGTTTGAGAGCGTGTGATCCAGATTTTGTGGCTCCATCTTCTTTGTATTTCCTGCCCTTATTTCTGTCTGCTTTGGCAGTTCCTAACTCTGTTTTCTGATATCTTATATTAAAAAAAAATACAGATGTTCAGTCTAAGTTTGAATTTCCTTGTGCCGCTAGGACCGTCAAGTGCTTTGGGGAAAGTTACATAAATGTGGTTCATACCAGCACTAGTCCCTTCTATCAAGGGTAGGTTTTCCCTTCAGTTTCTCTGACTTTGCTTTCCAGTGCCTTTATGTATTTATTTAATTTTTTAAATTTAAAATATTTTCTTTATTTATTTGACAGAGAGAGGGACAGACAGAGAGCACAAGCAGGGGGAGCAGCAGAGGGAGAGGCAGGCTTCCTGCTGAGCAGGGAGCTCCATGTGGGGCTCGATCCCAGGACCTTGGGACCATGACCTGAGCCGAAGGCAGACGCTTAATGACTGAGCCACCCAGGCGCCCCTCTCTCCAGTGCCTTTAAATAGTTCTTTAATATTTTTTTTCTAGAGTTCCTAATGGTTTTCTGTAAGAAGGTTAGTCTGATATAAGCTATTCCACCATCCCTGGAATTGAAATTCTTCTCTTTTTCTTTTAATTGTTGTAGAATACACATAGTGTAAAATTTACCATCTTACCCATTTTTAAGTATACTGTTTAGTAGTGTTAAGTACATTTTCGTTGCTGTGTAAAGTCTTTAGAACTCTTTTCGTCTTGCAAGACTGAAACTCTGAACCTATTAAGCCACAATACCCACTCCTCTCTTCCCCCAGATCCTGGTAATCACCATCTACTTTCTATCTCCATGAACTCAACTCTAGGTACTACATATAAATGAGGTCACGTAGTATTTGTCCTTTTGTGTTTGGCATATTTACTTAACATAGTGTTCTCAAGGTTAACCCATGTTTGTAGGATATGTCAGAATTTCTTTCCTTTTTAAGGTTGAATAATATTCCATTTTATGTATATAACCACATCTAAAAAAATATTTATTTTTTTAAGTAAGCTCTCCACCCAGTGTGGGGCTTCAGTTTATAACCCCTTGATCAAGAGTTGCATGCTGTACTAACTGAGCCAGCCAGGCGCCCCTCATAACCACATTTTCTTTATCCATTCATCCATTGTTGGATATCTGGGTTGCTTCCATCTTTTGGTTATAGTGAATATGCTGCTATGAACATGGATATCTCTTTAATTTTTTAAGGCTGTGAAGTTGCTCTGTAATTGAGATAGCATGTTTACTTAACCATGGACCAATTTGTTTCAGAAGTGTTTATGGGGAAAAAAAAAAAAAAAGATAAGGATTGAGGTCTGGTTGACAAAAACCCAAACAGAACAAAACCAAAAAAAACCCCAAACCACATCATCCTCAGTCTAATTTCTGTGCAATGATTTATTTTGAAAGAACAGTATTATCCAAAGCCTTTGGGGTAAGAGCT